GAAAGGGAAAGTCTAACAAAGAGTTTGGACACGTGAATTTGAAACTAAAATATCAATGACTTGTAAATACGAGGAAGGGATAGGGTGAGTCAGAGGCAGGAGCTATCCAGGTATTGCTCCTACCTGTTCGAAAACACATATTGCTAAATGTATTGAGCACTTACTATGTGATTGACCCAGGTCTAAAAAGGATTTTATTGGCACTGATTCATTTCATCTTCATGACAATGCTTCGAGGTAGATAGAGTTGTTGCAGTTTTACAGATGAGGACATTCAGGTCCCACGGGGTATCTTGCCTAAGGTCAGAACCCAGACTGATGGCGAGGATTCTGAACAACTGTGAGTGTATGTGTGGTATGTGTGCTGTGTGATCTAAGAAAATAACATGATAATAGCATATCCATTATTAAAATGCATGTATGTGTTTCAGACACTCCCTGTGTATTTTAGTATAATCATATTGGCATGATGACATTAGACATTTATGTTTATTAGTGCCACACTAAAGAAAATATACAACTCAATACATACACTATCTAACTATGCATGCATGCAGATATTACTATTTAACACTCCTGGATCCTCTGTGTCCCGGGCTGGGATCTGCGTCTCTGGCTGGTCGCAGAACAGAACTCTGCAACTACAGATGCTGTCATTTCATACAATGGTCTTCTTGGTCTGCAATGTTACTTTGACCAAGTAATGCTAAATGTTTTCTAAAAACGTTGGTTAGGCCAACCTTTCCCACATTTAACTGGCTTTTCTGCATCTTCTTTAAATAACTGTGAAAAAGTTTGTGAAAACTGAATTCTGATTCTCCCAGCATTTGTGTAACTAAGGGGAGGAGGTGTTTATTGGCCCAGAGGGTTGCAGAGGTCGGACAGCAGCTTACCTTCATTAAAGTACTTCGGCCCCTTTAATTGGCCGATTAGCCTAGTGAACTCTGAGTTTCATCTTCCCATTCCATCTGCCTCTTTGACAGCTGTTCCATCTCCTCTCAGGGAAGTAAGTTGTATTTAATTTTGACTTTAAATGAGAAACTGCAATTCACAAGTGTATCTTTTGTACCTATTGTGTATTGTGGCAAAATACCGGTAGCAAAATGTATCATCTTAACTATTTTTTTTTCTTTTTTTATTTTTATTTTCATTCTCGTTAGAGGTGGGGTTTTACCATGTTGGCCAGGCTGGTCTCGAACTCCTGACCTCAGGTGATCCGCCCGCCTCGGCCTCCCAAAGTGCTGGGATTACAGGCGTGAGCCACTGCAACCGGCCTCATCTTAACTATTTTTAAGTGTACAGTTCAGTGGTTCATTTACTTACATTGTTGTGCAGCCATCACCACCATCCACCTCCAGAACTTTCTCATCTTCCCAAACTGAAACCCTGTCCCGATTAAACAACTCCCATCCCCCACTCCTCTAGCTTCCGGTAACCACCCTTTTACTCTCTATCAATTTGGTTACTCTAGGCACCTTATATAAATAGAATCATACAATATTTGTCCTTTTGTGACTCGCTTATTTCACCGAGCATAGTGTCCTCAAGGTTCATCCGTGTTGTAACATCTGTCAGAATGTCTTTCCTTTTTTTTTGTCGGAGTTTTGCCGTCATTCAGGCTGGAGTGCAGTGGTGCCACCTCAGCTCACTGCAACCTCTGCCTTCCACGTTCAAGCGATTCTCCTGCATCAGCCTCCCAAATAGCTGGGATTACAGGCACCTGCCACCACTCCCAGCTAATTTTTGTATTTTTAGTAGAGACAGGGTTTCACCATGTTGGCCCAGCTGGTCTTGAATTCCTGACCTCAAGTCATCCACCCGCCTCAGCCTCCCAAAGTACTGGGATTACAGGCGTGAGCCATTGCACCCAGCTGTCCTTCCTTTTTAAGACTGAATAATATTCCATTGTGCGGATGAACCATACTTTGCTTATCTGTTCATCTGTTGATGGACGCTTGTGTTGCTTCCACCCTTCCGCTGTTGTGAATAGGCTGCTGTGAACATGAGTTGGCGAATATCTGGTTGAGTCCTTGCTTTCAATTGTTCTGGGTATATATGCCCAGAAGTGGAATGCTGAAATTGTATGGTAATTCTATTTCTAATTTTCTGAGGAACCACCACCCAATGGTGTTTATTTTTTAAAGGGCTACATAGAATGGGCAAAACTATGATTATGTCTAAAAGAAAGACAATAATAAGCCCAGGTTTTATGACAAATTTGAAGTAATTCACCAATGGGGCTGCAGTTTCGCCTGTTTCTTTTTTTTTTTTTTTTTTCTTACTTGTCCACTTATTTGAGAAGTTTTACAAGCTTCCTTCTCTTCAAAGATCCAGTTAAAGTAGGGTCTGTTATTATGAGCAGATAGTGGGTATTATATTAAAGAATAAATAGTAAAGGAAGAAAGCTGTATGAGACGTGCTGTTTAAAGAAGACTCTAAACAGCGAAGTTTATTGCTTGACTCTGCGTCCCTCTGGCATGTTCACCAAAACTGCACTCCAGTCTTTCATATTCGCAGCCATTTATTCACTTGACAAACATGAAGCTTCTGCCATCTGCTCAGGGACTGTGCAGCATAGCACTTAGTCCTCACTGTCTTGTTCTGTAGATATCTGGATTCGTGTCTTATTGCTCCAACCCACTCAGTACACGCTTAAACAACCCTAGGAATCAGACAGTGGGAGAGATGAGTGTGAGGGCTTCTATGGGCGGGTGAGACGGTAGAGACCTGCAGAACTCAGAGCTTACCTAAGGGGCAACCACTCATCCCTTCTGGCTACTAGTTGCCCTGTGGGAATGCAGGTCCAGTTTTCCAGATCTTCTTAACCTCCAGGAAAAATAAGATATCCAGCTTCTAATGTAAAACCTCCCAGTTTTAAATTTCAGCCACTGGTTCAAAAAAAAAAAAAAAAAAAAAAAAATCAAAGATAGCACAGGCCAAATAAAAGCAGGTCCGTGCAGCTGGAGGGCCGTGAGCTTTGACCTCTGCACTCATTGAAACTCTCCTGGAACCCTCGGGCATAGCCGATAAGCATCTTCTTTTTCCAAGAAATGGAGGTAGAGGTGGATCTCCAAGAAGCTAATGAAGCCTTAGTTTCTTGGCTCCTTCCTTCCCTGAGGCCGTGTGTTTTGTAACGTTTTCTTCGATTAGGATTGCTGTGTCTTTCCATTCTGGCTTCCCCTTGTCTGGTGTGGCAAAACTACAAAGGGGAAGCTGAGTTGGGGAAACATCTGGTTGGAGTTGAGAGGGGTGGATTTTTGTGGTTAGCACAAGCAGTGTCTTGGGCTGCAGCAGGACTGCTCCCCTCTGGTCATCGTCTGGCATAGGGTGAGAAGTTTGGGGAACCAAATGATTGGATGCACTGGGGGCCAAGCCCCGGATTCCGCACCATACCTGGGGTCCTGGAATTTCCTGCTCCACACCGGGAGCCTCCATCAGAGCTTGCTTGGGGCCCTCATCTGCATCTACCTTCCTTTCCAAGGACAGCAGACTTCACTGCTGGTGAGTGTGTTGGTGACCTAAGAGGTGGTCGAAAGGCAACTGTCTCCAGGGAGCGTGAATATAACTTGGGTGTGCATATGTATGAGGCCTGGCAAGGTGCAGAGTGCAGGATGGAGCCTGGGGTGGGTAACGGAGGTAAGAGGCCAGGCTCAGCAACGTCTCAGGAAGCTGGGAAGACTCCACAGAAGTCGGCGGGGCGGGGGGGGGGGTGACCCTGGAAACAGGGGCTGGTATCAAATGGAGGCGTCCACCCTCATGTCTGGTGGTTGATGCTGGCTGCCAGTGGGGATCGTAGCTGGGGCTGTCAGCTGCATCCCCTAAACATAGCCCAGGCTTCCTCAAAGCATGGGGGCTGCAGAGAAGGCAGACTTACTTGATGAGTCAGGACACCAAAGATGAGTATTCCAGGGACCAACATAGCCACATCACCTTTTCTGAACTTGCATTCTGTTGGTTACAACCAAGTCACAATCCTGCCCAGATTCAGGAGAGGTAGCCCCATCTCTCAATGAGGGCAGTATCAAAGCATTTTGGGGGCCATGTTTTAACCACCACACAGATGAAAATATTGCCTGCCATCATGGTGTTGGGATGGCTTCCAGGAATATATCTAATTCAAAAAGCAATTCAAAGATCATTTCAAGGATATTTGTATTCCCTGAAATGTTATAGTTACACATGAAAAAAACTTAAAAGGTTTTCCTTGTATTTGACAAAAATTCTTAAATCTATGTCACTATCAGTCACGAATTGTTTTAGTCATGAATCTTCAAAGCTGAAACTTTTCTGAAATATTAACAATCAAAAATTGTTTTTCATCAGCCATGCTATAGGAAAGACTGACTTCTATCTCTCTACTCTCTGTAGAAATATCACGTCAGGTGTGGGGCTCACGCCCATAATCCCAGCACTTTGGGAGGCTGAGGCAGGCAGATCACAAGGTCAGGAGTTCAAGACCATCCTGGCCAACATGGTCAAACCCCGTCTCTACTAAAAATACAAAAATTAGATGGGTGTGGTGGTGTATGCCCGTAATCCCAGCTACTATTAAGGGTGAAGCAGGAGAATTGCTTGAACCTGGGAGATGGAAATTGCGGTGAGCCGAGATCACACCATTGCACTCCAGCCTGGGCAACAAGCGTGAAACTCCATCTCAAAAGAAAAGATCACAAAGGTGTTACCATATGGAGCAGACATGAGAAATGCACTGCCCAAAAAGTGGTGTTTCAGACTCTTGTGTAATCACATGAACATCTTTAATAAGATTCTGGGTACAAGAATTTAAGGTGGTAATTAGTCTCAAGAAATAAAAATAGAAATGATCATCTTGGGCATCAGCAGTCCAGGAAAACTTCACGGAAGTTGAAAGAAATGGAATTTCAGTAGAGCGAATGGAGGCTGGGGACAGGACCGACCCAACTGGTCAGCGCATATTGGCAGTTACACCTGATGTCAGTTCTGATTGGCTCCGTCTCCACGCTCATTGGTTAGTGCTCCACAGCAGTTGGTAAATGTTTTGCATATCATCCCTGCCTGTTAGAGTGGACAATATTAGCAAAGGCACCGAGGAGGAATAATCTTGGCCTGTTTATCAAACGGTAAGGAAATTTCACTGGCTTGAGTCCAGCTGGAGGCAGTTACGGGAAGTACAGCTGTTTAACTAGAGTAAAGCCAATTGTGAAGCATGTTGAATGTCAAGCGAAGGAATTCGTACATATTCCTGGAAGCAGTGGGGGAGTAATGAACCTTTCAGTAAAATAATAACGACTTTAAAAACTAATTTTAGAAAGATTACTTCAGTAGTTGAATGAGGAGAAACTAGGAACACCTTTTTAGAAGGTGGCTGTGATATTCCAAGGAAGAACTATCAGACATGAACTAACTAAAGAGGAATTTGGGCTTGTGTGTGTATCACTTTCCTAAATCGAGTTCTGTATTAGTAGCTTATTTTGGGGGTTTATTTTTTGAGATGGAGTTTCGGTCTTGTTGCCCAGGCTGGAGTGCAATTATGCGATCTCAGCTCACCGCCACCTCCGCCTCCTGGGTTCAAGCAATTCTCCTGCCTCCGCCTCCTGAGTAACTGGGGCTACAGGCAATGATTTCCTCATGTTCATCAGGCTGATCTTGAACTCCCGGCCTCAGATGATCCTCCCGCCTCAGCCTCCCAAAGTGCTGGGATTACAGGCATGAGCCACCACGCCTGGCCTGTATTATTAGCTTATAATGGATCATATAGGGAGACCAATCATGCTCGACTTAAAATGTTCTCGTCCCCTCTCCTTCCAGCCACTGCTACAGTGAGCAGTTCTATCCAACCAGCTTCACGTAGCAGCACGCTGAGCATGCCTCTTCTCACTGCCCGTCCCTGGATTCTCAGATGCAGTGGCTGGCTGGGGTGTGCCATGTGAGTCCTATGAAGGAACCGTCTTCCACTGGGGATGGGAGCTCTCGAATCAATGCTTCCCCTGTTCTCCTCACCCCACAGTTCTGAGACACACTCCAGAGAGCTTGCAAAAGCTGCTGTGATGGTCAGGCATGGCGGCTCATGCCTGTAATCCCAGCACTTTAGGAGTCCAAGGCGGGCAGATCTCCTGAGGTCAGGAGTTCGGAATCAGTCTGACCAACATGGAGAAGCCCTGTCTCTACTAAAAATACAAAATTAGCCGGGCATGGTGGTGCATGCCTGTAATCCTAGCTACTCAGGAGGCTGGGGCAAGAGAATCACTTGAACCTGGGAGGCAGAGGTTGCAGTAAGCCGAGATCACACCCTTGCACTCTAGCCTGGGCAACAAGAGCAAAACCCCGTCTCTCTCTCTCTCTCTCTCTTTCTCTCTCTCTCACACACACACACACACACACACACACACACAAGGCTGCTGTGGGACCCAGCAATCACTTGTAGGCATGGCTGCCTAGATTGAATTGGATTTTCTCCCCAGCCTCCTACCCCATCCACTCTCCACCAACCCTGCTTCCTGCTCCCTGTGGTCCCATTCCCAACTAAACCACTCACGCATAAACCTTGAACCTATGCTTTTCTTTGGGGGAACCCAGGCTAAGAACAGGATCCTCCAATTCTTTGGTGCACCATAGTGGAAACTCACATGCCGCTCTGCCCACAGTAGCAGCATCACATCCTCACGACTCACCCTTGTGTTGAATAGCTAGTATCTCCTTTGACCTTTTTAACTTTTTTTTTTTCCTGAGGCAGAGTCTCACTCTGTTTCACTCAGGCTGGAGTGCAGTGGCGCATGATCTTGGCTCACTGCAACCTCTGCCTCCCGGGTTCAAACGATTCTCCTGTCTCAGCTCCTGAGTAGCTGGGACCACAAGCATGTGCCACCATACCAGGATAATTTTGTATTTTTAGTAGAGACAGGGTTTCACCATGTTGGCCAGGCTGGTCTCAAACTCCTGGCCGCAGGTGATTCTCCTGCCTCAGCCTCCCAAAGTGCTGGGATTACAGGCATGAGCCACTGCACCCAGCATCCTTTTTAATTTTTAAAAACAAGTGTGTAGTACTGACTCAGTCCCATATACTCAGCAGTATTTTAAGCCAGTAGAGTGGTAATTTAGGATACTGGTAAGAGCAGAGAATTTAGAATCATAAGATCTAGATTTGATCCTTGCTACCAACTGGATGAATGACCAAGGGTAGGACATACAGCTTTTGGAGTCTTCAGTATCTTCATCTGTAAGACAGGTGTGTTAGTAGCTATCGACCTTCAGTGTTCTTGTATCAAGGAGGACCGAGTGTGTGTGATGAGCAGTTGCTAATTTCAGCACTCAGCTTCCATTTCCCCTTCCTGTTGGTTATGCGATCCCGATTTTTGTTTGGATGGCTATCACCTTTCCCCAGTGCATCCTACGTTTTACCACCATTCTCCTCTCGACCCCCAGCTTTAGGGTAGGCCCTAATGGTCTCAGTCTAAAGGAACTATTCATCATTTCCCTAGCTATGATGATTTTAAAAAGCAATGAGAAATGTACTGACAGATCTGGTCACCATTCTGAAAGAGCAATCAACTAAGAGAGCATGCAGCTCTGACAATTGCTGGAAATCATCGTGTGGCCCTAAGGAGTGCGAGCCTAAAGATGCAGCAGAAAGAGGGATGGTGAGATTACTGAACTTTTGAGTCAAGTCACATCCAAAGCTCATGTGACCTCTGATCTTTTCAAATAAATGAGTTATTAAATATTTTATTTAAACCAGTGTAAGTCAGGCTTTCTCTTATCTGGGACGGAAAGACTCTCAACTGCTAGAGTATACAAGCAAGTTTTGTAACTTGCAAATCACGATAAAACATTTTTAAAATTATTTTTCCACTATGAATTAGCAAGAATACCTGTGACCCAGGGGGCTGGTTGAGGAAAATTTCTAAGCTTTTGTTTTAATTTAGTACCCTCTTTTGGAAAAAATTGTTACCGACTGACAGAATGTTCAGAACTAGATCCCAACAAGAATAATCACATATGTAAAAAGAAACAGGCATTTAAAACCTATAAAACTGAGGGAGTTGTGTGTGAGACTGAGTGAGAATATATTCTTATATTCAAATATGTATAAAATTCACAAGTCATAAAGGTAAAGACTGTCGGATTTGGCTACATAAAAATAAAACTACAAATACTGCTATATGGCAAAAGAAAAGAAAAGAAAAAGAAACCCAGAGTTAAAATGTAAGCAACAAACTGAGGGGAATTTTTGTAGCTTATATGAAAGATCAATATACAAAGAATTCTTATAAATCAATAAGAAAAAATCTTAATTGGTAAAAGATTTGAACATAAAATTTGAAGAACATATGAAATAATGCTACAGTTGAGGTCAAAGGTAAGAGTTATTAGGTTTAAAAGGTTACTAATAATTATACACATTAAGTTCCAGGCACTATAAGAATTACCTCATAGAGAATGATCATTATAGAGTTAAAAAATGAAAACAAATGTTTAACAATAAAAAAACTGGTAAAATATATTTTGATATAGTCTTATATTGAAATATATGTTGGAACCATTAAAAAAGATCAGGCAGGCTTTTAAGTGTTACCATGGAAAGACACATGCTATATTGTTTGAGGATATTAAATAATGTACAGAACAATTCCATTTATATTAAAATATACATTAACATATGCATTAAAAGTCCGAAGATAAATGCCAACAATTAATAACGATTATCTCTCAGGTGTAGATTTGCACAGTGGCCATTTTATGTAAAGCTTTCACAAAATTCAAATAGTACACAAATATTTTTATTTTAAACAAGTGAGCAGAAATCACAGAGAAATTCAGGTTGGGTAATCTGTGGCCTCCTTGATGGTAGAACGCATTCCTCTCGTCCCGGGTCTCTGTGTGTCAGTGAAGTGCCCAGCAGGTGACAGTCCTGTTGTGTCTGGGAAAGCTGGAAGGAAGGAGGAGGAGGAGGAGCATGAGAGAGAAAATATTTTCCCCAACCAGGAAACTGGAAATGGAGAAACTTCACAAGGAGCTACAGGGGAGCATCAGCGGTTTCATCTCTGGTGTTCACTGTGTCCTGGAGTCAGCTCCTTGAAGCCTGCGCAGTTGTCATTGCTGCTTTGCCAGGTTCTGGCTGTGAGACCCAGCGACTGCCTCCTTCCACACTATTTCCCAACCCGGGGTTTCTTGTACCTGATCTCATCCCTCCCCTGCCCTTTGGACTTGACTTTGGACTAATTTGACAACACAGCAGCCCCATTATGTCTGATGTGATCCGTAAGCTAGAGCCTTTGCTGAGCTGGCATCTCTCCACCTCCACCCCTGCCCCAAGAAACTGGAGTTCGGAATCTTTAGATAAGAAGCTGCAGAAGGAACAACGCAAACAAGCTTTGGGCTCCCTCATTTCATGTCTTGTGAGCAACTTCTATGAGTTATGAGAAAGTTATCTTGATTGAATCCTAGCCTTGCACAACACAAAGGGATCAGAAATTGTCAGGCTGTGATTTTTCAGATAAAAAACTGAAGCTTAGAAAATGTATATAACTTCCCCTAAGCCCATAACAAACTTTCAGGAGTGCCAACATGAGAACCCAATTCTCCCGACACTGTGGACTCCTGACCTCGCACGGGGCTATTTCCACTCTGCCATGCCATGTCTTTGGCTGCTGTATTTCCAGCTGCAAATTTCCAGAGCTTCAGGGATGTATAAACAGTAAACTTTGACACCTTCACTCAAAGCAGAGAATTGAAAACATTACTGGGTATATACCCAAAGGACTATAAATCATTCTACTATAAGGACGCATGCACACGAATGTTTATTGCAGCACTGTTTACAATAGCAAAGACCTGGAATCAACCCAAATGCCCATTGATGATAGACTGGACTGGGAAAATGTGGCACATATACACCATGGAATATTATGCAGCAATCAGAAATGATGAGTTCGTGTCGTTTGTAGGGACATGGATGAATCTGGAGAACATCATTCTCAGCAAACTGACACAAGAACAGAAAATGAAACACTGCATATTCTCACTCATAGGCGGGTGATGAAAAATGAGAACACATGGACACAGAGAGGGGAGTACTAAACACTGGGGTCTATTGGGGGGAAAAGGGGAGGGCCAGTGGGAGGGGGAGGTGGGGAGGGATAGCCTGGGGAGAAACGCCAAATGTGGGTGAAGGGGGGAAAGCAAACAGAACACACTGCCATGTGTGTACCTATGCAACTGTATTGCATGCTCTGCACATGTACCCCAAAACCTAAAATGCAATAAAAAAAAATAAGAAAAAAAAAAAAGAAAACAAAAACGTAGCACTGAAAGCTTTTACTGTAATGCCTAGTATTGTCAATGTCAGTAGTACCAGTGTCGTATCATCAATGTGGCATTTGTTCATTCATCTATTCATTCATTCACCAAACATTTCTGAGCATGTATATCATTCCAGGCCCTGGAGCAGGAAAAAAATAAAACCACACAGCAGTAGCAAAGGGGCCGTATAAACCAGCAATAATTTTAAGCGTTACATCCTTATTCAGTCAGTCTGGTCCTGCCCGCTAGAGCCCTGGCCTTTGGTCTTGGCAATCCTTGTATGGAGAATTACAATATAATTGCCCAACACTCAATTTACTGAAGACCCTCTAGCAATTCAATTGCAATCAGCTCTTGGATGCAAACCCTGCGAATATGGTAGCTGTGTATGGTGGTTGCATGGATGATTTCAAGGATAAAATGCAGAAAGCTTTCACCTTTGACATTTCACCTGCCACTGGAATATCAATATCCTTAACATCACTCACAGTAAGTTCTTCCAGGGAAAACAGGATGCACCGTCCGGCAGACACCAAGATTCAAACTTTTTTGGCTGGGGTACAGTGGCGCCATCTCAGCTCACTGCAACCTCTGCTGCCTGGGTTCAAGTGATTCTCCTGCCTCAGCCCCCTGAGTAGCTGGGATTACAGGTGCCTGCCATCACACCTGGCTGATTTTTGTAGTTTTAGTACAGATGGGTTTCACCATTTTGGCCAGGCTGGTCTTTTTTTTTTTTTTTTTTTTTTTTGAGACAGAGTCTTGCTCTGCTGCCAGGTGCCAGGCTGGAGTGCTGTAGTGCGATCTTGGCTCACTGCAACCTCTACCTCCTGGGTTCAAGCAATTCTCCTGCCTCAGCGTCCCAAGTAGCTGGGACTACAAGTGCCACCACGGGGGCCCAGCTAATTTTTGTATTTTTTTAGTAGAGACAGGGTTTCACCATGTTGGCCAGAATAGTCTCGATCTCTTGACCTCGTGATCAGCCTGCCTTGGCCTCCCAAAGTGCTGGGATTACAGGTGTGAGCCACCGAGCCTGGCCAGCCACGCTGGTCTTGAACTCCTGACCTCGTGATCCACCTGACTCTGACTCCCAAAGTGCTAGGATTACAAGAGTGAACCACCACACCTGGCCACCAAGACCCAATCTTAAAACCTAGAACAATTATAGATAATCCCACTGGCTCAGTCAAGATCCAGCAAGTTAATTTTGGTTACAAAGAAAGTATGGCTATGTGTTAGTAGACTCTCAAACCATTACATCTTAGAAACAGTATGTCTGAGAATGGGCTTTCTTTGTGTCAGAGTGGCTATCTGCACACGTTTTGGGGAAGCCCCAAGGCACAATGCCTTTGGTGTCATGATCACTGACACCACTGACAGTCAGTTACATTGCACATGTATCTCAGCATTTGCCAAGGAGCCTGAGTCTACTGAAGGACAATGTGTATTGAAGCCAAGGACAGAGGGAGGCATCCTACAGCCCCTGAGATCACCTTCAGCACTCTGAAGAATATTGAAGGAAGTCCAACATTTAGATGGAAGGACAAGGATACTGAACTTCACATCTTAGATAAAAATTAACTCGAACTGGACCACAGATCTAAATGGAAAATGTAGACTATAAAACTTTTGGAAGAAATCATAGGAGAAAATATTTGTGGGTCTTGGTTTAGGCAAAGAATTCCTACGTAAGATATCAAAAGCATGATCCATAAATGAGCAACTGATAAATTGGAGTTCACCAAGGTTAAAAATCTTACTCTGCAAAAGACAAGAGAATAAAAAGAGAAGCTAGATCGGTAGAAATTATTGAAACTCACATGCCTGATAATAGACTTGTACTCAGAATACAACACAAACTCTCAAAACTCAATAGTAAGTAAACGACCCAATTAGAAAAGGAACAAAAGATCTGAATAGAAATTTTACTAAAAAAGACATATGATAGCAAGTAAGCACATGAAAAAATGCTCAACATCATCTGCCACTTGGTAAATGCAAATTAAAACCACAATGAGATGCCACTACATACCTATTAAGTAGAATGGCCAAAATATATTTTTAAAAAACTCATAATATCCAGCATCTTAGCCCCTTTTATGTTGCTACAATCCAATACCAGAGACTGGGTAATTTATAAAGAACAGAAATCCATTTCTTACAGTTCTGGAGGATGGGAAGTCTAGGAGCATGGCACTGACATCTGGTGAGAGCCTTCTTGCTGCATCACAGGATAGCAGAAGACATCATAGAGAGGGAGGGTCCTACAGGAGAGAGCCAAACTGGGCTTTTATACCACCCTTGTGATGACTAACACGTTCCCTTGATAACGTATTAATCCATTAGCCCGCTAATCCATTAATCCATGAAATGATTAACCCATTCATGACAGCAGAGCCCTCACTTCCCAAAGAAGTGAGAGGCCAAGTTTCCAACGCATGAACTTTGAGAGGACTTTAAAACCATAGCACTAAGTGCTGACGAGAATGCAGAGGAGTTGGAACTCTCACATATCGCTGAGAATGACAGCTGATACAGTCCCCGTAGAAAACAATTTAGGAGATTTAAGTTAAACAAAGGCTTACCATATAACCTAGCAATCCTATTCATAGTTAGAGAAATGAAACCAGAAGCTGGGACGGGCCTGGTGTGCATGCCTATAATAACAGCGCTTTGGGAGGCCAAGGTAAGAGGATTACTTCAGGCCAGGAGTTTGAGATTGCAGTGAGCTATGATTGCACCACTGCACTCCAGCCTGGGCAACACAGCAAGACTCCATCTTTTTTTAAGAAAAGAAAAATGGAAACAACCCAGTGTCCTTCAAGAGTAAGGAATGAACTGTGGTGCTTCCATAGAATGAAACACACTACTCAGCAACAAAAAGGAATGAACTGGCCAGGCGTGGTGGCTCATGCCTGTAATCCCAGCACTTTGTGAGGCCAAGGTG